TACGTACGTATTTCCCTGGCAGTTGGAATTATTAGCATCAAAGCAGTTGTTTGAGATCTTGTGCGGTTTCACAGGCACTGATGTCAATAACGTTTTTATTAGTGGTAGAGGTTGATGGATCTGTTAAGTTTTAAGGCAATATCGTTAATTAAAGGCGAAAATTAATTTATAAATACAATCTGATATTGTCTGGGTATATTTCCTAATCTTCTAAATAGTTATATTTGAGAGGCAATTACAATCACTTAATAATGAAGGTAATTTAACCAGATTAAGTCCCCGAAGCGATTTAGTCAACTTTAATGTTTCACCGAGAGCCATAAAAATTATTTCGATAAAAGGGGGTTGGGAATAAAGACATATAAATCGTGGATAAAAAAATGGACCATTGACGTTGCCTAGGCTGTATTAAATTAGATTTTGTTCCAAAGGTCGTTTGTTTTACGAGTCATTGTATTTCACTCTGAGATCCTTTAGTTTTTCTACATCGTGCGCACGGCATTTGCGCCGCACAAATTGTGTGAGGCGCTAACAACGTTCCCAATGTAAGGCTAACGTAGTGTTGGATGTAATTTTAATCACCAGCAGATCTCATTTAGCTGCTTGAAAAAATTTAAAACGTGGGAGAAATGCTATTTAGCAAAGTCCCACATCTTAAATAAGTGGTAAAGGAGACTTTTTGATAATGAGCCAAATTTTCCGAACCCGGTACGGGTTTGGTGTATTGAGTCGAACGTTTCTTACGTACTCCCAAGAATCCCAATTTATTACTACAATATATCCTTAGAGGGTGGATTTTTCCGGCTTAATGAAAAATGCTCGGTTCTCTAGTCAGTAAGAAGGCGTTGTAAAGTGTGCGACACAATGAGTTTCTGTTTTTCTAACATGTCGAATAGTGGTTGAGCTTTAATCACCTGTAACAAAAACGTGACTACTTATTCACTTTTTATTCTTATTTCATTTTGTCTTTGTTTACATTTTTTTATTTTATTTCTTTTTTTTTTTTTTTATTTTTTTCTTTTTTTTTTTTTTTTTTGGGGAGTGTTATCCTCATTTTTATGATAGGATGGCAATGTGCAAAAAGGACGCGTTCAGAAAGGTTCCGTATCTCTCTTTATCGTATCTTACGAAATGCGATATACCTACAGATACCACGTCAATATGAGATCTCACGGATTAAAAATCATTTATAAGTTCATCTTCCAAGTATATTAAAGAATATTATCATTGTTAAACTGAGGTGTAGAATGGTCTCTGCTGTCTTTGCTATCTTCTGGGAATCTTCAAGGTTGCAGGTGTTCCACGGGTATCATTTGCTAACACTATAATTTTGCAAACCCCATGGAAATATACGTTTCCTGCAAAAGCGTGCAAGTGTCAGGACAATGGTTGATATGTGTGTGAGAACGTCCTTGATGTTATTTCAGAATCTCTCTTTTGCTAACTCCAACAAAAACCTTCACATATATACCTAGGGGTAGTCATAGTCATTTTGCAGCACAAGTGTTAATCTGCACGTTATCGTCATGTCTTCAACCAAACGCGCCAACAACAAGTTGACTTTAAAGAAAAGTGCAACGAGTAAGAAGCCTTACATAAATGCCTGTGGGGGTGGTGGACGCTCAATCTTAAAGATCGCCTTAGAAAAACCTACAAAGTTATCCGATGGTGATGTGATCAACCTCCTCACGGAAGATAAAGAAGGACATCCGGAAAGGTAAGTTGTAAACTTGTATAATAATTTAGTTCTCGCTCTCCACCATCCATATAGATACTAATGTTGTATTATTTTATTTTTTATATAACAATAGCTACCACCACCACCACCACCACAAATGAACTGGAAGATTTTCTAAAAGAATATGAGGGAAATTTCAATCATGTTTACGCTCCTCCAATTACAACGATTCCTCCATCTCACATGAGACCACCGGTGATAGATCCCAGACATGGCCAGCAACAACAACACCAACAACAGTTAAGGTACAAATTATTGTTCACGAAAAAATAAAATTTCTAATACATATATGTTTTACAGACAGTCAGTATCCATCAGTACAAATATTGGAGCATATTATAATTCCTGCGCCGCTACCCCAGGCAAATACTCAAACGCAGCCGTCAGAAATGGTAGCTTTACATCCACAATCCGCGATGGGTGACATGCATCAATTTCCGTAAGTTTACTCATTACTGTACCTCCGTTTATGTGGAAATACTTATTTTATTGTTACGTTACAGAAATAATCCAGCTCAACAACAACCAAATTTACCACTACAGCTACCTGTAAATAACGGCGGCAACAATCACTTTCAGTAAGTTACTTTTATTCTACATATAATCTATTTTTAATATTGTTTCTCTTATTGTTACAGTGCCCCGTTGCCTAGGGGGGAAAAAGATATGCAATTACTAAGAGAATTTTATGAACACGTCTCGCCGCCGTCTTCAGCAGCCATCGACCAAGAAGAGGCGCCACCACCACCACCGCCGCCGCCATCTCATGAATCGCCCAGATGGCGCGAGCCGTCCACACCCCAAGAGCTGGCGATGTTATCAATCTGGAGAAGATGCTGACAATTTTCCAGGCCAGACAAAGAAATTCCCAACTCCAGACGGAGCGTTTAGAACGGGAATTGGCTGCATCACGGCTTCAAGATGAAAACCTGCATCGAGACATGAAGTTTATTATAAATTACATGCAATTTTTAAAGAATAGCTAATTTTTCTTTTTAAATTTAATTTCACATTTGTAATAGTAGGTACTTCGGTAGGTACTTACGAGTAATAAGTAAAACATTAATGTAATGTAGCTAATTTTACGTAGAAAATACATGGATTATTTAATGCGATTGTTGGTATTAATTAATTTAGTTTACCTGCCACAAACATTCACGGTATAACTTTAAATGCAATATTTACGTACCTACCTGAGTTCGAGTGAGAATACTAATCGAATTAATCATTATCACAAAGAAACACCAAAATTATTTTCCACAACACATCGCGAATCGGCGAATATCACTGTGCAATGAAATGAGTGCATACGCAAGTCGACATAATGCGAGCTGATAATTTTCTATTTTTACCAAATGCGCGATACCAAGCAGAACGTCTATTCACGGTAGGTACAGTGTACTCGTTTTAAAAATTGAGCGTTCATTAAACACCAATCCCCAAACTTTTTTAACCCTCTCGCTCGCAATTCCTACACAAGAAATAAGCGTGTTTGATCATACCACGTACAAATTGGTTCTAAAGGAAGAATGTCAGGGCAAAATGAATAAGCACCCTTTATACATTCTTTTTTAATACTCAAACTTTACATAAGTACAAATTGTCTTAATTGATACACAAGAATAACCATCATCGTCTTATTTATGCCATTGTCTCATCACACAAAGAAATAATCCTTGCCTTAACTGCTACTGTATGAAAGTTTGAATACGTCCAAGCATCACTACAAAATCAGTTTTTTCATACGGCGCTGAGCCGCTGACAACCCAGCATTTCAACATCCCACTTTAATTTTCTAATTTTCAGTAACAGTTCGTCAATTCTTTTTTCCCCATTGCATTGCAAAGATGATGTCGGTGCTGCTGCTGTGGATGATGATGATGGACAATGGCTCTTGACATCTCGCCTATTATTGAATTATTCAGAGCAAAGACCCATTACAACAAACACTTATATATTAGTTTAAACCACACCCATTCTTAAGTCGCCTTGATCACCCGAAAACAATACAACATTTTTGTTCTCAAACTTGAAACTACACTCGACAGACAAACACCGCATGGCCTTGAAAGTCAACCAGGATCGGCACCCATTAAGCTTTGAGTGAGCCAAAATCGATATGACCTTAACGGCGGTTCGATTTTCTTAACGATCTGGGATAGCGGTTGAATTAGCGGTTTATACGTTCGTACAAACTCCACTTCTTTAATAAAACGATCCGCTTTGTGACGATTGTACTTTACGCGCTTGAACTATTCGTCGTTTCAAGGCCATCTCTTTAGTATCCATGATGATGCGATCAAGGGAAACAGGTAAACAAACAGGGGGAACAGCCTGTTTATTTTGAAAGCTGTTTATTTAAAAAAAATGTCGAGCTCTTTACACTGAGCGTCTAGGGGATTTATGCCGGGATCGCCTCGCTTTAGCCTTTTATCTAATTTAGTACCAGGTCCGCAATACTGATAGCCAGGAATATGTAGTTCCACTGGAAGTTTGTTTATAAGATTATTAACCAAGCCACTCCCATCCGTACACTTCCGCTTCCGACTCAACATTGTTGAAGTGTGGCAAGAAGTTGCCTCCATCAAATAAAAAAAAATGCTCAAATAGAGTACGTTTATTGACATATGTGATACATAAAATAAGTAGGTCGATAGTATAATAATTCCATCTTGCAAACTGTATTGTGAGAATTTACGTTAAACTTATAGTTTAACACATCTTCAATATCGCGATAGATGTTGTCATCGTCGCCCTCATCCTCGTCACCACATTTTGGAGCCTTTTTTTCGTTGAGATGATCTCGAGAGTGGGATGTGCATTTAAATAAGAGACCCAATTTCTCTCTCGTGAACAACATTTATTATTTCTCTCTCTCTCTCTCTCATTTACAACTTTTTTACATAAATGTTAAATTAGTAGTCTTCCCCGCCGTTCCAGCGCTTGTTATAAAGACTTCTTCCCTGGACAAGAAGTCCTTGAAGATCTGCAGACAGTTGTCGCTCTTGAAGTACTCATAAAAGCGCAAAGGAAGGATGCACTTAAAGTTCTCAGTATCGATCAGTATTCGATCGCCATACTTGGTATTGATTAGATCGATACCAATCACTTTATACTTTTCACCAACCTTCATATCCTTGACGTTCTTGAAAGGTTTGCAGTAGGTGCTACTGTTGAGTCGATTAAGATCCATTTTAACTGATTAGTCAACACTATTCGACTGATTCCAGGCACCGTTTTCTACCACCATTATATTGCTGGCTGATGACCTTGAAATCTAGAGTGCGATAAACCATTACATTGCTGTATGGTGGCCTTGAAATCCAGTGCGATATATACCATTATATTGCGGTCTGATGTTGACCATGAAATCTAGTGCGATAAACCGATGATCGATGATTTTCTGCTAAGACGAGAGACAATATCTTACAAAATTGCTCTATTTTCCTACTAAAGCGAAATCTATCCAAGGCCCTTTTCGCGCTTCATTATATGCACATGACCACGCGATCAGCACATACACGCGATTGTTACTATCGTCAAATGTCACTTTCTTCATCACCATATTATGTATTCACCCAACTGAGCCACGTTTAGTCCGTTCATAAGGCAATAAACGGATATTTTATAATTTAAAAAGCGTCTACATATTTCAATCCCCAACTCATACCTTTGGGCAATGTTTTGACACTGTTCCCTAAAAGTCTCAGGTCCATACACCGCCTCATGCTCAGCATCAGATAGTAATACCAATAAGGTTTGATGAAGGCATTCAACAGCCGTTCGCCACATATTCACCACAAATCGCCAGTAGGCCTCCCAACATCAATTTTTCCATACTGCGCCGACAACCCAAAATTTCCACATCCCACTTTAATTTTCTAATTTTCTTTACCAGCTTTCCGTTTCTGCCGCTGCTGCTGCTGCTGATGATGATGATGAACAATTACTCTTGACATCTCCTCTATTATTATTATTATTATTATTATGGACAAATGACTATTCCAATAAGCACCTTATATTACACCCCCCACTCTCCAAGTCGCAAACCATCCCTCGATAGCCTAAGAATTGCACCACGTTTGACCTTGACCACAAACAATACACCCTTTGTTCTCTCGACCCCCGGCGCGCTCTCGGCCTTTGAGATACGAAGCCGGCAAGAAGAATAATTACGTTTTACCCTCAATCTTGAGACGGCAGCCGAAAAATTACGCAACCCATTTTTTACACTCTCAGAGCTGAACTGGCACCGCCAGTGGCACCCCATCCCCCAGAAGAACACAAACATTAAACCCCCCTTTGTTCTCAGCGTCCGACCTTGAAATCCAATCGCCTTCAGGAAAAACAATTTGATCACACACAATACACCCCGCTTAACACTCTCAGCAATCGACCTTGAAATCCAAAAACCTTGAAACGACCACGCAACACCACACCAATTTCACCTTGAACACCAACACTTTATTCATATATTCTTCAATGCTAAGTGGGCCAGGATCGATACGACCTTGAAAGTGAGCCAGGATCACCACGCATTCAGCTTCGACCCAAAATCGATATGACCTTCAAGTGAGCCAGCATCGGCACGCATTCTTTCAGACGGACACACCCCCACATGACCTTGAACACCAATGCATCGATACGACCTTGAAAGTGAGCCAGGATCGCCACGCATTCAGCTTCGACCCAAAATCGATTTGACCTTCAAGTGAGCCAGCATCGGCACGCATTCTTTCAGACAGACACATCCCCACACATGACCTTGAAGCCTCCGAAGAACACAAACAATACACCCCTTTGTTTTCACCAATCGACCTTGAAATCCAATGACCTCAGCCATCACCCCCTCTTACCAACGGCCTTGAACCGACACCACCACCCCCCTCCAAAGAACACAAACAATACACCCCTTTCTTCTCAACACTCGACCTTGAAATCCACCCACCCCCCCACTTACGCAATACCACTTTGACCTTCAACACCACTTTGACCTTGAAACGCTAACACTTCAATCATATGGCACTTTTTCATGTAAAGTGAGCCAGGATCGGCCTTACTATACTACTGATCGGCCAATTTTTGTTTACGAAGCTCGCACCAGAAATGGTTTTAAATACTACTCTGATCCGAGCGACTTAATTGAAAAGCGGTCCATATGCGTTCAGCACAGTAATGGTCATTTTGAAAATTTAGTTTGTATTTTAAACGATCCGCCTTTGCCGATAGCGGAATATAACGTAGAGAATTATGGCGGAATGATTGGTCTCCATGGAGAAGGTTTTCTATTTCCTTAAGCGAGTCGATCCTTCACCTAAATTTCAAAATTTCATTTTTTTTCGTATTTATTTGAAGGATAGGGATAGTTCGGTTAGTCTCCGGTTGGGTCGTCACGCTTTTTCAAAATTTTACATGGCTCCTTTTTTTAAATTTTGGCTG